CTGTGCCAGGGTTGCAATTTAGGCTCCGCCCCCGACTCCGCCCACTTTTCTCCGGAGTTTTTTTTCCCCGGAAAATTTTTTCTCCGGGATTTGCGGGGTCTCAAAAAGCCCCCTTCGTCTGGCAATCGCGCTCTTATGCACTGTTCGAAAATCGCGGGCATTTGAAGGTTGACATGTCGAAATTCATTATCCTTCGCCAAATTTCGTCAGAAAGTTGATTGAAATATCATCTTCACTGATTTCAATCCTGGCTTCGCTCAGTTATTTTGTTTTCTTTTTAGCTCGACCCACTTATCATCATTCTTTCAGAATTCACCTCTAACAATGCCCCCAAAGAAAGCGGCTCCGAAAAAGTTACATGAATTGGCACCGGAAGTTCGTGTTGGGTTAAAAATCGACGATATCAGCAAGAAAACGTACATTGTCGGAAAACAATTCGCTACTGGAGGATTCGGAAGGATTCACACATGCACAGAAGATGGGAAATCGCAGCAAATGGTCATGAAAATTGAACCATCGACGAACGGGCCGCTCCTCACAGAAGTCGTCGTTTTCAATCGAATTTTGAAAAAGGATATGATAGAAAACTATAAGAAAGCGAAAAAAATTCAATGGATCGGGCTCCCTCATTTGATTGCAAATGGTTATTTCACTTACAACAACGAAAAAATGCGATACATGATCATTCCAAAATATGCGACATCTCTTGAAGCTGTCAGAGAGGCAAATGGTGGATCCTTGTCAGCTAAAGACTCGCTCACAGTTGCTGATTGTGTTCTCGGAGCATTAGAGTATTTGCACGATTCGGACTATGCTCATGCGGATGTGAAAGCTGCGAACATTCTTCTGGAGAAACCGAATGATTTCTCTTCGGCAGTTCTCGTCGACTTCGGTTTGGCTCATCGGACAACCAATAATGTCGATAAACCAGACAAGAAACGCGCTCACAACGGGACATGCATTTTCACTTCAACTGATGCTCATCGGGGGAATAATCCATCGTTTCGCGGAGATGTCGAGATTCTCGCGTATAATTTGATTATGTGGATTTCCGGCTCACTCCCATGGCTTTCACTCGAGGCATCCCCCGATAAGGTTTTCGAGGCGAAGCAGAAATTCGTTGGCGGGTTGCCAGGAACCTTGCAAAGCATACTCACGGTTAGTTTTTCAAACATCTTCCACCCCATTACACGCAATTCCGGGTTGTTACCTACGGTAACTTTACGAGCTCTGCCAAATGCCAAATTAGGGGGGTGAAGAAACTAAAAACCGGAGGTGAATTCATGCACATACACACGCAACCCATTCGCTATTATCCAATTATTTTTCAGAATCAACCGGCACCCGTTGCTGGCTGTATAACCACCATGTTCGACGTTTCGAGGAAAACCGACTACACGCACAAAGTTGATATGGCAAAATTGAGGAAGAAAGTAACAGAAGCCGCGCAATCAGCCTCAACAGGAGCTCAAAAGAAGCCTAAAATGACACCATCAAGGGATACAACAGCCACTCCAAAGAGAAAATCTCAAAGAGCTCCAAGAGTCGAAAGTGAAGATGAAGAGGAAGAAGAAAAGAAAGAGGTCGAAATTAAACCGAAAAAGAAAGTGCAGAGATCTCGGAAAGTTGTAGAGGATGATGATGAGGAAGAAGAAGTTATAATTCCAAAGTCTACCAGAAGCCGTAAAACAAAAGAAGAGGGAACACCTCGAAGTTTCAATCTCGGTATGACCTCTTCAACAGCAACAAGTGATAGAGTCGCTAAAAAAATTGAAATGAAATATAAAAGATTGGCTACCAACAAACCGTCACTTGTTCCCGTCACAGTGGCTGATGCCTCTTCTTGTGAATCTCAATACGAATCTAATGAACCTGGTCCTTCGTCTCGTGTAGTAAAGAAGCGAACTTCAGAAGAAAGAGATGCGAATGGAGAAGTCCAATTGAAAACTCCTGCACTCGTTTCTCCAGATGTCAAAAGTAAATTCACTATAGAAAATGGGATTATTAACTAGATATTTCTCTTATTTCAGAAACAAAATACAAAAGTGGCATCTCTTCAGCTACTAAAGCTAGTCCGACCGAACTGAGAAGAGTTCCAGGCGTGAGAAACTTCCCGAAAGGCAGAAGATCTATGATTATCAAAGAGGTATGTTGAAGAATACTGTACCAGACATAACCATCTCATTTCAGACCTCCGCTAGGTATCAAGAAAAACGTGCAACTCGAAACACGAAACCAACGTTCGATGATTCAAGCTGCTCTTCCGAAGTCTAAACATCCATTATCTTTTTTCATTTAACTTATTTTCTTTATTTTTCAAAAATTTCAACATTTTTATAAGTACTTCTTTGAAGATCTCCATTCCTCACTTTTCAATTTATCACTTATTTCCTTGATTCTGTTTTGATGTATTGTCGTTTTTTTTTCTGCGTTCCCTTGTTATATATTGCCCATTTCTCTCTTTTCTCAGTCCCTTTTGGCTTATCATCAGTATCATGATGTCCACACCAACGACGAGTTCCTCCTTTTTTTGTCGATCCCCCTATCTATCTGTTCCCTTTCTCTCTCCCTTTTTCCACTTTTTCTTTGAATTTGTGTTTGTGTTTTTCATGAAATTACTGATGATCACTTTGATGAATTTAACCCGAGAGAAAACTGTACGGGCCGGAGGTGAGCGGCTGGTCGGAAATCTAACAGAAAGTAATCAGGAAATTAACAATGTCGCGATGGGTCTCTTCTGCTGCTGGAAATAGGAGAAACTGGTTCTCTGTTCCGGTTTCCTCCTCTCATTTCCACAACTTCTTTTCCCGATTGACGCAAATTTGGGTGTGAGGGTGGACCGATCATTGGCAGCTGAAAATCCAGAACCCGCTGCTAATTCTGCTGCTCCCGGCTGCTGCTGGTTCCATTTTTACACACTTGGCTCTTTCTTCATTTTCCTTTTTTTCTTTGTCATTTTATGATCGTTGATGACCTCCTTTTCCGATCATTGTCAGGTCCAAAAACAGTGTAAAAAGCATAGGTAAAACGGGAATTCCACCGTTTTCAAAATGTTTTCCAATAGTTTCTCTATTCTCTTCGTCAAAAAAAACAAAACAAAACAGCGATTTGTTTGAAGAAGTGACAGTGATTTGATTACTGTAGACATTGAACAGGAACGAGAGAAATAGAGAAAAAGATGTAGTGTTCCACCCTGGCTATAATGATGAAACACTTCCCTTTATCATTTTCTTCCGAAAAAGTTATTTTCGATTATTTTAGAACTTCCAAAATTTCGAACCCAGTCTCGTTTTCCTGATGTTCGTCCAAAGTAGAATTGTAGAATTCAACACGCTGATTTACGGTATTTCTGATAGAAGCCCGCCCAAATCGTTAAGTTTGAGCTGAATTATATCGATTATGTGAAAGATATTAAATAGTGGTCAATTGACAAAATGTTGATCATATTACCAGTAACATTTTATCAGTTTACTACTTTTTTATATCTTTTACAGGAATCGAGATAATTGAGCTCAAAGTTGACGGCGTGGGTGAGCTTCTAATAAAGGAAATACGTCGTACCCGTTTTTAGAAGTTCGTTCAGCGTTGAAGATAAACGTAGCGTAGCTAGAAAAGCCAAAATTCAAATCGTGTTTCAGAAAAAAAAATCGTAAAAATTGTGCTCTTTGTGTCTTTAGGAGCACTGTCCTATATCGACTTGTTCTATAACATTGCTCCGAAATATTGTAAACACTCCAATAGAGTGCCACCCAAACGGTCAACTTGGAGCCCAATTATCTCATTACCTGTAAAATATATCAATAGGTGATTAACTGAAAAAATGTTTATCATAATATTAAAAACATTTTGTCAGTTGACTACTTTTTTATATCTTTCACAGGAACTCAGATATAGGCTCAAAGAAGAAGGTTTGGGTGACACTCAATTACAGTGTTTTGATAACTGTCTCTGTGTATCTGTATCTCATCGAATTCTAGTTATTTTTACTTCTGGCTTATTTGAGAAGGTTAAATGTAAAGTGTTAAACTTAGGTTTCTTCCTAGAACCGACCCTATTGTATTACTTCTGATAAAGGGACAGTGTCTCACCACTAAATACCAGAAACGCTCTAATAGAAGCCCACCCAACCCGACAACTTTGAGCGCAATTATCTCGATCGCTGGGAGACATATCAAAAATTTGTTAACTGATAAAATGTTTGTCATAACATCACTAACATTTTGTCAATTGACACATTTACTGTGAAAGATATTTAAAAGTGGTCTACTGATAAAATGTCCATCGTGAGACAGCAATCGAGATACCGTATTTCCTTTAATAGAAGTTCACCAACTTTGAGCTTAACCTGGGTTTCCTGTGAAAAATATCCCAAATTTGTCAACTAATAAATTATTCATCATCATCATCACCAATATTTTATCAATTGATATTTTTTTGATATCTTTCACAGGAATCTAGATAATTGAGCTCAAAATTGAAAGTGGTTTGGGCTTTTATTACAGGAATCGTGATAAATTTAGTCAAAGTTAAGGTCTTCTATTCCAGGTTTAACGGTTTTAATGGGAGTTCCAGTCTATTAGAGACAGAAATCGTCAAAGAGGAGCTGTTAGAAGCTTTTGTATTTTTCTTCGCAACCTATACAAAAAGGAAAAACTCATCAAAACCGCACCTCGCCATACCCAAAATTTCCAAAAATTCTTTGCGCAACGATACTAAAATGGTGTCAAAGAGATGGCACCTACGCTGATAAAATTCCCGAAAAAACGATCATAAATATGCCGAAAATCAAGATGATTCGAAGACCCATTCCATCTTGCTTTTTCATCGGGGATTGCTTTGTTTGTTCATTTTTGTTTTGCTCGTCTTGGAGCGACCATGTGAGTTTTCTGATTCTCAAGTTTTTTTGGAGTTTCTATGATGGTTTTTGTACGGTTGGTTTGTTTAGTGCAATTCTCTACAGGAAAGTTAAAGGATAGGACAACGGTAATTTACCATAAATGCTCTTCTGAAGGAACATAGATGATGAAGCTCAAAGTGCACATATAGGAAGGACTTCTATTAGACCATTTACGGTAGTACTGTATCATATCATACTATCAAATTTGGAAAGCAAAAAGACATCAAGAGGACTGTAGGTGTTTGCGAGCATTCAACAAAGAAATAAAAACGGGGTACAGTAATCAAAACCTCTTTATAACTGAAAATATTTCCTACCGTAATCCTCTAGAGAAAAAGAAGTTAAAGGATTTCTGGATGCCTACGTGTTTCCTCAATTTGTTTCCCGAATAATGTTTTGATAGGAAACCATCTCAATCCAGCTTCAGCGTCAATCTGTTATGTGCAATACAGTACACATGCCAAACACACGAAAGTTTCGAAAACAAATCATCGTCGTCGTCGGGTGACAACGGAAACAATTTCAATTTCGTATCATGTTTCGCATTTGTGTTTTTGATTTCCGTTTATGGCGAAGACAAGGTGTTCATATTTTTGTTCTAGAACGAAGGGGATCCATGTCTTTCTACCGTAATCCCTATGAAACCTATAATTTGAAAATGAATGCATGACACAACGGCACAAATCTTCATGAATCGATGTATCGCGCATTCGAAAATTATAGGGCACCGAGGACTTTTCGCGTTTTGAAAGCTTTTGTGTCCCGTTGGATGATAGAGTAGGTCAACGAAAAGGAGCCCTGTGGGGAGAGATGGGCGGCTCAGAAGTGTGTGACGTGTCGTCTCGTGGCGACGTACACTATTTCGCGAATCCAGGAGTTGGGGCCGTCCGAGTCCATTAGAGACATGCGAAGAATAGGGAAAAGGACCTTCGGGTGGGAATCCACGGCAACACTTGACGGCACTTTGAATCGTCACGAGGAGGAACACCTCAGTTTCTATTTTTATAGAATCGCAGATTTTTGAACATTCTATCGGAAGAATAGGGAAAAATATTCGACATTTTTAAATGAGCAGGGATCAGATGATAATTTGAAATATGCCTTATAATAAGTCTTTTCAGGAATTTAAGTTATTGATGGTTGATTACAGTAACCCTTGGACCTCTCTTGATTTTTATTCAAATCATACTATTGGTATGATTAGAAAACTGGGCAGACACTAGAACCACGGAGTTAAACACCTTCAACCTTTTTTTTTAGTGATCGCTTTATTTTTTTTCTATTCCAGTGACATAATTCCCGACCCGGCAATCGTTGAAATGTTCATCCAGTAATTTGTAGAAACATGCGTCTAGTTTTTGACACATTTTTAAAGATATTTTAAATCATTTTTAGATCATTTTTATAGATATTGTTCTTCTCCAGTCATGCTTTTTCTAACAACACCTGCGCTGTTCCATTCATTAATTTCTCATAAAAATGTTAATAATTATGATATCATATTGTTCTGCACATTGTTAAACTCATATTCTGGTAACCACACTTGTAAACCGGATCAATGGCGGGCCTATGGCGGGCTTTTGCAGGCCCTGTCATAATTTCTTTTAGGATCAGTATTTTCAAACCAATTATATTAAGTGATGGAACTTGACAAGTACCACAAACAGCTACAATTTGGAAAACTGTACTATGTCTATGAACACAGTTACAGACGAAACAGACCGAAAAAACATGCAAGTCCCGGTCCGTCCCGGATCAGTCACTTCATGTCTTATCACTTTGTTCAAAGACGTGATATAGTTTTTGAAAACTACCTTTTTGTAGTACTCGTTGAGTTCTATTATATCTAATTTAGCTGGTTTAAATAACTTGATTCTAAAGGAAACCATGACAGGGCCCACGAAGGACCGCCGTAGGTCCGTTTTACAAGAATGCTAGTAATTTTTTTGGATACTGTATGAATTGTGCAAAGTCTTCATATCAGAATCACTAACTATTCTTCCCTCTTATATTTTCCAGACTCCGCCCATTCTATTCCATAAATTCTCATTCACCGTATACTTCAAGGCCGCCCCTTCTCTGAAAATTGGGCGGAGCCGAAGATAGTGGTCGGTTTTGAAAAAAGAAGGGCGGTCTCTTGAATATGCATAACGTGTTTTTAAGCTTCTTCGGAGAGAGGAAGAAGAGAGAAGCAGGACCACCCGCCTCTCACTATTTTCTGATTTTTTATGCATTCGATACATATTTTTATGTAGTCACACCTTTTCTTTTTTTTTCCTTCATATATACCTTTCCTTTTCATACTTTTCTTTACAATACAATTTCAGACTGGAAGCTCAAAAAAGTCTTCCTTTTCCGACTTCTGTAGTCCATCCGA